GGTCGCTGGGTCGGGGCGGGCAGGGCCAGAGGCAACAGGGCCGCGATCCTCCTGCCCTCTGGCGCCGCTGAGGAGCAGTGGCTTTCCACGGGCTCCCGTAGGCTTGGGGGGCACGGAGTGCAGGAGACTGAGGGGTTCTGTGGCTGCAATGGTGAGAACCTGGCGGGCAGGCAGAGCCCTCAGGGAAGGGAGAACGCACCCTCCATTTCGCCCTGCTCTCCGTGCCTGGGCAGAGACCCCACCTGCACTCCCTCACCAAATCCTCCCCAGCACCCTGTGGAAGGCACATGGGGACACTGAGGCTGGAGGAGTCTAACGCCTGGTTGGGGCTGAGTTTTTTGTTTGAGGTTTTCAGTGATGGGGACCAAAGCCAAGGACTTGTGTGTACTAGGCACAAGCTCTAGGCACAGACAAGTGCCACGGGTTGATGCCCCCAAGCCCCACTCCGGAACCCTGTCCCCGGGGCACCCCGACCTGCCCGGGGACCTTTGTACCTGGGAGAAAGCTGCTGTCAGGGCTTCCTCGAGCGGGCCTGTTATCTTCTCAGCTAGATCCGTCCACACCTGGGTGAAGCCAGAGGCTCACGGGCAGCCCGGGGACCGGCCTCCTGGGGCCCCTGACCGGGTCATCCCCTCCTGGCCTTGGGAAGCCTTCCCACTCGCCTCACCTCTATGGGGGCCAGGATCTGTGGCCGTCGCCGCCTTGGGCCCGGAGCGCCAGCTGGAAGCACCCTCTGAATGGCCTCGCGGGCCACTCGGCCTTTAAGGTGCTGGAGGAAGTCGTGGATCTGGGAGGACGGAAGGGAGGTCGTCTGTGAGTTCAAGGATGTAGGAGAGAGGCCCCACGGTGAGACCCGGTACCCAGGGAAAGGCCGGGCCCGTCCCGGCTCCTAGACTGGGAACTATCCCGTTCACTTCCACGCCGCCCACGCCCTCACTTCATCCTCACTCCCACGCACCTGCCCAGAGCACGTGCAGCAAGGATCTCCCGCCTCGCTCACGCCCAGTTTGCCTCGCCCGAATCCTTGCTCTCCCCGCCCAGATGCGGCCCCACCCCTCAGGCTCGCCCAATCACGATCCCGCACTGCCCGCCGCCAGGCGCACGCTCATGCTCCGCCCCTGTTTTACGTTCCCGACGTAAGTCACGGGCCACGCCCCTAAGCCGCAGCGTCTCGCCAGCTCCGGGACGAGCTCCGGGACGAGCCACGGCCCTTGCTACGCTTCTGAGGTCGGACCTGCAACTCACCTCCG